TACTTTGGCCATCTCATGAGAAGAGAAGACTCCTTGGAAAAGACCTTGATGTTAGGAAAGTGTGAAGGCAAGAGGAGAAGGGGACGACAGAGGACGAGATGGTTGGACAGGGTCATCGAAGTGACCAACATGAATTTGACCTAAATTTGAGGCAGTGGAAGACAGGAGGGCCTGGCATTCTCTGGTCCATGGGGTCACGAAGAGTCGGATATGACTTAACGATTAAACAACAACAAAAGCTTTTAAGATCACAGATCTCTTCTCTGGGAAAGATGGTACAGAAATATCAGATGCAGAGAGAAGAAGGAGGAAGGTTTAGCTTAAGGCGGTGTAGTTTGCACGTTGTCTTTTCTCCTAATGGAGGAAGAACACTCTGCAGACCACCAAAGGGGCTTATGAGATGATGAAACCATGCTAGATTTCATCCAGAGGAGCCCACAGATTTGCTTAGAGGTGGAAAGGAAGACAGGTTTGGTTCTCCATCACAGATAACACAAACGTCCACCTCAAGCAGAGCTATTTCTATTCTGCAAACAGGACAGAGCAGAAAATTTCCAACTTTTCTGGCCTGGAGGAAATAAAAACTAGAAAGGGTGGATGGAAGGATACAGGGAAGTGGGATCATATGCAGCCTCTGTGGTTTCGAAATCTCTCCATATACTGCCTGTCTGGTAGGCGGCTGAATTTCCAGAGGCAGTGAGAATTCTCCCTTTTTACAAGCCCAGTTTTGGGAAGGAAGAACTATAAATAGTAGTAATTAATTCAAGTCGGTGAACACACATGTTGGTTGCACTTTAACATTAAAGTGTAACTGAAGTTCTAAAGCTGCCCATCATAAAAACCATGGTTTTCTTCTTGTAATAAAAAAAATCAGAAGCTTGCCCCTGGCAGCCAATAAACACATATAAACACCACCACATATAAACGTAATTCCACTTGAAATGTATAAAACGCTGAGAAAACATACCAAATGCATTCTGATAATAAAGTAAAATTTAAAAAATGAATATAGCAATCAAAGTTATGAACTCCCTTCAATACTATCAGTTTCTCTGACTGAATGATGTTGCACAGATGTGATACAACAGTAAGTCCACTTCAGGAACCTTTTTATTATTGTGTTCCACACAATCTTCAAAGCATATGTACAGTAACAAACAATAAAAGTTACTGTGCAACGTAAATGCAAAACACTAAGAATGAAACGTTCTCTAAAAAGCCAGATTAAAAAACCATGATATCAGCTCAAATCCCAGGAAAACAACACAGTTTATACTGTCTGTTGAAAGCTCAATAGGAATGGAGACAACTTGAGGTTTTCTTGACCAGGAATTGCACAGCCGAGGCATTCCCACAGAAAAGACCCCATCCTTTTGTGTCCTTTGATGGCAAGACACACCACAGCCCCCAAATAAACACAAATTACACACAGGTAGAAGGGATCTTTTGGCCCCAAAGGAGGGGAATACCTGTTCTCAAGAAGCACTAAGGAATACCGGGTCTTATTTTATTGGTTGCAAGATTATCCTTCCCACCTTTCCGCACTCATCCTGCCCACGAAGATCTTACTCAAAGGTTCTCCTAAGGAACAATAATCCTTTTCCCCCTTGTTGTGATGCCTCGTTTTCTTGAATGTAGTGCTTCTTGTACACACCTAGCCAAATGGATGAAGGCTGAAGAGTGTCTCCCACCAGGACAAGACTCCGGCTGGAAGTCACTTAATCGACTTTTTCAAGAGGAGGAGGAAGATCAAGGATTTATCAAATAAAATGGGACTACCTGGGATATAGGATAGATATTCTGTGATTGAAGAGAAATTCAGTCAATGCAGCCTTTATGGGTATCTTAACATTTTAATTTGCTTTGAACGTTACCTGTATTTCATATACTGTACGTCCATAATTTTAAATTGTACAATGCTCTCCTACGAATAAAGAAAGACAGACTTCTGGAATGTTCTCCACAAGGTCAACTCTGACTTACTGCCTACTCATGCTGGTATCTCTTAGGTGCCAAGAAAAAAGCAACTTGCTTCCCCCAGGATTTTGAAATCTAAGGCAGTTCTTACTTCTTGTTGTGATTTAGTGGTCTTTTAGCCATTTTATGCCTCCTTGCCTTTTGTCACATTTTAGTGCCTTTTAAAAAAGTTTTCACCATTTGATTGATTTTTACAACCTTCTGTAGCCACTCTGAGGATGGCTAAACTGAAGGCCAGTATTGAAAGGCTTTAAAGAGAGAAGAGAAAAAAGAAAATCAGAGCACGCAAGGTGGCCGAGAGCAAAGAAATCTGAACAGGTTACAAGACAGGGTAAAACACGCAGGAAAGTTCCCAACATACAGTATCAAGGCAGAAAGACATATTTCAAATAAAACCAAAGATCAATCCAAAAGAAAGTCAACAGAGCGATGGAACAAAACCAGATTTCACTGACTGGCGAAACCTGCACCAAAAAGTCAAAGCAGGTCTCCAAAACAGCATGGATCTAACAGGTATCTCCTTTGGACTTTAACTGATGAACAGAACCATAGAGAGAGGCAATTCTTTAAATATTAAATAGGCTTTTAAAAGATACTGGCCAGCACTTTGAATTAGCACCAGAAACAGACAGACAGCCAAGAAAGCCAGTGTACCACCACCATCCCATCGCTCTAGAAACAAACGAGTCCTCCAGCCATCGGTCTTGCAGCTGCATTTTGTGCCAAATGAATTTGGATCCAGATGAACAATGGTGATGTGTAATGCCAAAAAAAATCAAGATACAGAAATCAGAATTATACACACATATTTATCTCCAGGGATACTCATTGCTTTGCATTCAAACACAGGGTCGGATTCTATTTTTACCAGCCACAACAGAAAAAAGAGCGAGGGCATGTCTTTCCAACACTAAAAC